AGACCTTTCATTTGAGTACCAACATGGCATTTTTTATATATTTTATATATATGGTATTTGTGAAATATGTAAATATATAAAATATATGAAAAATTGATGTGGGTACTCAAATGAAAGGTCTTAATAAGTGTAACATCGGGATGAACTTAAATCTTTAAAAATGTCAATAGTTCTCAAGATACAAGGTCATTACTTAATTATATATCTAGAGATAGAGTATTTTCGAATGCAGCCTAAATATTTATCATAATAAATTGACTATCGGTGTTAATGATATGAAACCTTGAAAATGCACAAATTCAAGTTAAGTGAAGACCTTTGCAATGACACTAAATTTCACTAAAAAAAACCGATTTAATCATATGATTATTCTGGACACAAAATTTCTTCTTATTCTCTTAATAATACCTATATATTATTGAACAAAGATTTAAAAAATAGATTCTAAATCTAAGAAATTAAATTAATTAACCCATTAAATATCAACCTCTAACCTTTCATTTAATTTTAAACAAACCATAAATTTTAACTTAATTAACAAAAATATTTTCCGTCCAATAGATTATGTAATAACTTATAACCTTACAACTTAATTACAAGAATAATTCACATTCTAATCCGATAAGTTAGCGACATAAATAACAAAAAACATAAATTCTATCTTAATTAAAAATAATTACCGTGTGAGATGTCGACTATCTTCATGAACAGCCATCTCAGAAGTTTTAAATTCGTTAAGCTCTTTCCTAATGGCTGCTTTGTCTTTTGGTGTCAACCGTGTCCACGGTTTGTCGGCCCGCCTGTCATAGTCGTGAGCTTGGGTCACCTCAATGTAATCATTGAACCTAATAATCTACAATTAAAATAAACAAAGCGTTAATAAAAAACAATGGGTTGTATTGTACATTAAAATGAAATTAAAAAAAAAAAAATAAAATTAATTACCTTCTTTTCTTTGAGTTCTTCAACAGTGGGTCGAAAACTTAATTTTCTTAATAAATATCTCTTCTTTTCTTCCTTTTGTTTTTTCTCCTCCGCAGGGCTTTGTTCTGAAAAAATTTTAATGCTGTCATTACGTTTTCTTCGGCGATTATTAACCAGATTTAATTTTACGACTGTCGAACAATAACGTGAGAGCATCATTTTAAATGTTTCTCAACTTGTATATTTAATGTTTCTTAATAAAATCACAATTATGAATAATTATTTTACATTTTATTTATTATACTGTTTGTATTGGTTAGTTTGTTTATTATACGAGTGGAAAGTCGCGTGAAGATAGCAATTATTTGATAATAAATAAATAATATATAATGATTGATATTATTCGCTACAATGTAGATTTATAGCGTGTTTTTGTTACTTACTTTTTAAAATATTCCGTTCCTCGAGTTCTTCTTGGGTCGGCCGCATACTAAGCCGCCTAGAAACATATACAATTATGTAGTACAAGTACATACGACATACAACATATAAATAAAAATATCTGTCTCTTGTTTAAAGCGTTGTATTAATAAAGACGGGGAATGGAATTACGAGGGTCAGGGGTTAGAGGAGTGCTAAATCATCAATGTAACAGATGGTTGATATCTAACAAACAACTGATTCACATTAACTTTAAAAGACTACTTATTTTTCACCCGGCTTTGTGAATAAGTGTTTCTTCCTACAAGAGTTGTAATTTTGTCATTTTTTTTGGCTATTAATTGTTTGTGAATAGTTCTTAACTTGATATTAAAATGTAAAAAATTTTTTAGTGATAACCGATAAAGTTTTTTTACAATTTTGTGATTTTTATAATTCGATTTAAAAATAAAGATTTTTTTTACTATTTATTAAATTATATTTTAAGGAATTATAAAAAAATTGAAAATTAAAAAAGTTGAAGATGAAAAAAGAGCGAAAAAGAAAAAAAAATATTCTTAATTCGTAAAAATGTCATTACAGCCCCTAGCTCGGATAAATGAAATTTTTTTTTGCAAAATGGTGTTTATAAACAGAGGTAGATTTATTTTTGTTAAATATTTACAAGTCGGATCCATCACTTTAATTTTCATTTTTTTGAACGAAATTTCCATTTGATTTTATTGATATATTTTTTTTTTTTAATATATAAAAAAATTAACAACTTAAAAAAAAAAAAAGTTGATTATCACAATTTTAACAATTTTCTTTTTTAAACTGTTCGTTTTTTATGTACTTTTCAAAAAAAAATATATCAAAAAAAGATAAAATAGAAATTTTTATCCAAAAATATGAGCCAAAATTTTTTCCAATTTTTGAAGGCAAAAAAGCTATCGAAATCTTTATTTTTTTCTTTCACGACATTTTTTATCATAAATTCGTCGTAAAAACAAATAGAATAAAAAAATGTTAATTTTTCACCTAGATATGGCCAAAAATAGGGCAAACCCTACTTGTAAATGATTACCTTATTTTTTAATTTATCAGGATTTTTTAAAAATAGTGAAAAACAAAATTTTGATTTAATTTCTGTAGGAGCTTTAATTTGGATGTGCAAGTATTGAAATTATCCAAAAAAAATTTTTTTTTTCTATTCTTAAAGTAAAATACAGTCGAACCTGGATAAGCGAGAGTTCAAGGGAGCACAATCTCATTCTCGCTTATAGAGGTTTCTCACTAACCCGAGTTTCTCGCTAATGCAGGTATATGGGTAGCGTTTCTCTCTTATAGAGGTACGCAGCAATAACAAGTCACATTCGACATATAAGTACTTTAAAAGAGTAGGTATCAAGATGCTTACGAAAATAAAACAAAAATTCATGCACTATATAATTTTATTTTATTTAGAACTTATTTACACTTAAAAAAATCCGTCAATTTCGTTTGGATTTCTTTTTTTGTATTTTGAATGTTTTTCTCTAACTCATAAATTTTGTCGAATATTGCTTGATCAACAACCGCCGCGTATTAAAAGTACTGTGTATTTTGTGTGTATTTTGTGTGTACTAAGTATGTGTGTATTTTTTTTATGTATGTATGTATTTTTATTGTAGCTGTAGTTCCTCCTAAATAATATAAAGAAATAAAGCTCCAATGTCGCTTATAGAGGTATAGTTAAGCAGCAGTCTCACTTACGGAGGTCCATGAGAGAAAAACGACTCTCTCTTACAGAGGTTTCTGTTTCTCGCTAATAGAGGTTTTGGGAGCTTAAAATGACGGGTCCTGGCTATTACTCTCACTTATAGAGTTTTCTCACTTATCCAGGTTCGACTGTATTCTTTTAATTAAAAATTATTATTTTTGTAACAAAAAAAATTTTTTGAAGGTGATTAAAAAAATAAAAGACGTAAAAAAATGATTAACTTTTTAAATTAAAAACAATATTTTCCATCACAACAACTCTAATTGGTATCGATCGAGCGTTAATTAAAAATAACAATCAACCTTGAACTTAAAACACTATCCAACAAAAATAATTGACCAAATAAATAAATTAATGAACCTATTAATTATTTACCTGATAAGTCGTGCTCCAATCGCTTCTTTAGACTCTTGTCTCTCATTATCAGACTGTATTTGAAGAATATTACGATTGATAAGCTCTTGTCGGTCCGGTCTTAACGCAAGCTTCAATGAAAGCGATTCTTTCCTCGCTATTTTAGCCGCCAGCCGATCTAGAATAAATAAAAATATCTATCAATTAATCTATACAATAATAATAATAATAATAATAATAATAATAATAATAATAATAACAACAACAACTTATTTAAAAACTATTATTCAATAACCTCGTGATAATTTATCTTTAGTTATTTTTGAGCAACTCCAACTCCGACGTAATTGAAAAGGCTCATTAGATTCTAGCGGTAAAGGTCCTATGTACATTAGCGGATGCACATTCGATATCGTCGATGCCGTTCTGATCGACAGCATAGTAACATTTATCTTTTTTCTCTTAAATTATTAAATTTCAACGCGATTAAAATTCTTCTCTCGGTGTTTTATCTTCCACAAGTGGTTAGTTTAACTGTTCGAGAGTTTAAGCACGTAAAACGAGCAATAAAAAAAGTTTAAGAAGCTTTTATTTTAACTTTTTTGTTACACACGGTTGGCTCTCTTCTGCTTGCCTTAATCACGGAAAGTAACTAAAGAACTTGGTGAGAAAAACATTACTGCATAGTATGCTTTTGCAAGCTATCTTTGGCGACTAATATAAACTTCAAGGCGCTTTTTAGAGTCTAAGTGGGCGCTCACAAAATATAAGCTCTTTTGACCGCAAGATGTATAATTAGTTCACTTTATACTACGAGTGGGAGGCAATGGAACAACTTGTTTCTCTGTTGTAGCTCATAAGTCACGACTTGTGTTATGATCAATAAGTAAAAGATAATAAACAACTCGTTTAGTTTGTTGAAATACCGCGATGCGATGTTAAATAGTTAAATTTATTTTTAGTTCATTAATATTTTTAATTGCATAATCTACCAACAAATTTATCAAGATATCAATGACTCTCCGGAGTATTTAAATGAATAGATAATAAAGTTAGTTATTTAAACGTTATCGGTCATTTGAGAATTTAATTTAATTCGCATAATTAATTTATTATTTCATTTTATAAATATATCGTTTAAATTAAAAAGCTATTATTTGATATATTTTAATGGGAAAAATTGACAGATTAAAATTTTTGGTTAAAAAAAATCTTGATATTTTATTAAAAAGAAAATATTTTGAATTTGCCATGTTTTAAATTTACCAACTTTTTAACTAAAAGTGCCTCGGCTAAGTCAATAACAGCTGACGCCATTATTGCGGTGAAATATGTCACCGGTTTTGATGTTAATTAATTTTGTTATAAATAAACGGGAAGGATTTTAATTGTAATTTTTTGTAGAGATTAATTTTTAATCTAAATGACATTAATACACTTGATATATACACCTATTTTTTCTTTAATGAAAGAAGTACTAATCAATATGAATAAAATTTCTCCAATCGAACTTACTTTCATCATCGTCATCATAGTCATCCCGATAAAGAACCTGTCCATCATCGGACCCATCAGAATCCTCTCTGATGACATACGGACGCGCATTTTCTTTGTTCTCCAGAGTGCAGGGCAAAGCGAGGCCAAACCTAACTGGTCGACTGCTGTAAATAAATTTTGATCAGTGAGCATTAATGATTGTTTTAATTCATCCAATTGTTTTATTGAATTGATTAGAGAAAAATGTAAAAAGCTTTTAGGGTTGATGTCCAAAGAATCAATTTTCTATTAATTTTCATTAAGCTAAGCTAACCACATGCTATGGTTAACATAACACACACAAGTTGTAAGGTTTTAAAAAAAATTTTAAATAAATAAGCAAAGAATGTGTCGCAAAAAATCGACTATTTTTATTTTTTAATTTAAAAGTAGAATTCTTGAAATTCATTCGAGTGACTTATGAATATTAACATCAAAGAACTTTTATTTTTTTTTTTTTTTCTATCAAATTTACACACTCGAAAATTTAAATAAACCATTTTGAAATTAATTAAAATCAGACAAAATAATTATAACTGTTGTAATTTAATTAACAAATATTTGTCCGTCATCTGATGAAAATTTTTAAAATCTTGAGCTTGATAAATAAAAATTTCAACTTTAAATTTTCAAGCTAGAAAATAATAAACTGACGGGAAAAAATATTAAAAGCAAAAAGAAATTTAATTTTTGACTTGAGAAACTTTTAAAAATCTTGAGTGACCCCCTTAAAAATTTTCTATTGAACTGGTCTTTAAAAAGTGCTCTTAAAATATAACAAACTAACAAATTTTAACAGGAGACTAAAAAAATAGTCAGTTTTTTCGCGCCACCCTAGTAAGCATCGAAATATTTGAAATATTTAATGACATGAGTATTGAATGAAGTGAAAATAGCAGACATTATTTATAATAACATTGACATGATATTCCCTAGTGTTATTTAAAGACAGAACTTTTCTACTAAAAATAGACTATTGATTTCCTTGGTATCAACTCTGTGTTGTTAAAGAATTTTTTAAAAAAGTCCCTTATTAATGAAGGGCTTAGTAAGTTAATATAAATTAATTGTACATGCTCAAGGCGATGCTTGCCAACAATTACCATATTCTTATCCTAGGCCTCAACGGCGGCCTTCTGCTGAGCATAAGAAAAATAACGATGTTTTACTAATGATTGATTTATGGTTAATGCAGTACAGTGAATAAGTTAAGTATTAATTAATATAAGTATTCGTATTAATTTATTAATTGACTAGATTAACAGTTGGTATGAACACGGTGGTTGTTTTTTATCATGATTATCATCAATGAAACTACCAGAACAGACGAGATGAAAAGAGGCGCTAGTCTATACACTAGTTCTATTAAATTGTACAAATTTTTTACCATTTTTTAATTTTTCGTGTGTTAAATACTTACTTGAAGGATGCATGGAGCTCCTGACGAAGGGTTAGTGGTCTGTTCTCTTGGGTTGGAGTGCTCTGAGGTGTCCCAGGACCGCTGTTCGGGCCTTTCTTCTTCAACGCGCTCTTCAGAGGCATCGCATGAAATTTGGGCTCCTTTGCAGGAATCTCCTCCACCCTTGAGGTGTCTATTGCAGGATCTGGTTGCGCGTAACGAAAGACTCGCAGGCTGTCATCGTCATCTTCCACGTCTATGTCTTCATCATCTGAAATTATTTTACAAATTAATTGGGCAATTAGTCACTGCTGTTTTTTTTATTTGAAAAAATTAATAGCGGTAATATTTTATCCAAATATTAAATTTTAAAACCATCAAGAAATCCAATTAAGTTAAACCAATTTAGGGTGTATATGTTACCCACTTTTTTTTTAATTACATTACAGGTTTCACATCATATCGTGTACGCGATGGTTATCTTGATTAATATTCGTGTAATTTTTATCGTAATTAATATTGAATTTCATTGACTTTGACAAATATTAACTTTATAAACACACCCTAGTTTTATTTTTAATTTGTTTTTTAACAAACGAGAGTTATGATATTTACTTTTGGAGGAAAAAATTTAATTAAAAAACTTTGTGGTTCATTTTAAATAAGGTAATTTTTTAGTTTCACAATATTTTAAATGAAATGTCAATTTTTTTACTAAACAAAATTTAAAGAAAAAAAAATGACAAAAAAATTAAAAAGTTCAAATTTTAAAAAAAATTTAGTTTTCTAAATTATTTTTACACGTAAAAAATATCGAAAAAATAATGATATTAAGTGATGATGTTAAGTTCAGTAGACGTTGACAATGTTTTGAATTTTAATAAAAAATTTATTTTTACAAATTTTTAACGTTATTGTAATTTAGCCGGGAAATTAAAAAGTTTAAAAATTTTTATTTTTAATTTTTATGTCAAAAACACCAGATAACCCCATAAAATATATATGAAAAAAAATATAAGCAAAGATATAAAAAATGTACCACATGTTTCCTATATTTATTTCTTTTCACTGAAAATTGGTATGAACTATTTTTTATACTCTTCATTCGTTTCTATATGAAGAAAAAAATATAAATTAGGTAAATGTGATACATAAATTTTTAATTTTTTTGCTTATATTTTTTTTCTGAGTTACCGTGAAACTAAATAATTTCCAAAAATAAAATTAACTATTGCAATCATTTTATTCATCCATTTTAAATAATTATTGATTAATATTCTATTAATCATTTAATTTTAATTAAATGTTTCGAATTATCCATTAGTGATGATCTGATGATGATTAATTACGCAATTATGTTAATGTATTTATTCAAAAATAATTAGCTATAGTAATTTATAATTAAATTAACTGAATTAAAAATTAATCAATCATAGAATATTCAAGATTTGTACTTCAGAATTTCCAAAAGTTTTGTGATACAAAATCATGGTAATACAATTCGAAAAAAAAAGTTAAGCAGATCACGAGAAGCTCTATCGATTGAAGCATTAAAAGTATTTATGAATAAAAGCTTTAACATAAATTAACACCGTATATACCTACTTATACCCACAAACATTTATTATTTATACTAAATACCCATCAAAAGTATTCAAATTATCGACATTTACTTCAATAAAGTTTAAATCCTCTTAAAAATTCTGAGCCTCACTTTTGTTTAATTGATTATTGGTTTTTCCTTCATATTCATATTTAGCATAAAACCGTATTGTATACTTTATCATAAAACAAAACTTTCGATAGTATAAAATATTTACGACCGTAATAATGGAAGTTGAAGAAGAAAAAGAATAAAAAAAATAGAGTATATACGATCGAACTTTAAGTATGATGAATGAGTACAAGTAAGTTATAAAAAATTTTAAATATTGATAAATTATCTTTATCCAGGTTTATCGTAGAGTTTAGATGATATGTTTATTACTCACCATCGTCCTCACAGTCAGAAAGAGGAAGATTCTGCTGACGCTGACGAGCCAGAGGAGTAGGACTCGGAGAACTGAACATTGGGGGTGGTGGAATTGGTCCGATTTCGCTCAACGGAATCGGAGGTTCCGGCAGTTCCGATAACATCAGGGTGTTTTGAGGTGGCAGGGGTGACATGTACCTATCGATTGCTTGTTGTTCTTCTGCTGTTGGCTGGAGTACACCTTTTTCCACTGGAACGATAAATATTATTAATATTTTAACAAAAAGAAAATTAATATATAATAATAATAATTTAATATTAATAATAAAAATAATAAACTATTCAAAACTTGAGATAAAAATTGAATATCACCAAAAAATATGTAAAATTGCAGAAAGCCAGAAATTAACGTCAAGGCCTTTTTGATATCAAATGTAACTACAATAATCCCTTTTAAAATAAAAATATGTCAAAAAATTTTTCTGGAGTCTCTCAATTATTTAGATGATAAATTTACTATCGTCAAAAAAATATTGAACCGTAAAAAGATATAAATTCATGTTACGACCTTTTTGATGGTACCAAATTTAACTATGTACAGAAAAAAATCACAATGGTTACATTTAACTTCAATTTCATTCAACAAAAAGTATCAAACTTTTAATATCTTCACTTTCATAATTTTACATTTAAAAATTTACGATGTTACAATGTAAAAGTTTATATAGACTACTTTTATATGATTTTTTACGATATATGTCTGGATTACGATTTATTTTTTCGTGTAGAAACTCATTTTATAATAACTTAATAATGATATACCTGTCAAAAAATTTTGCTCATTCTCTTAATCATATGGATTAATATTTGAAATACAACAATATTAACATTTAATAAACAAAATAAATTACAGTAAAAGCTGTTAAAAGTTACCGTAAAAGACAACCTGGGTAACTTATAAAAAAAATTATAATAAATTAACTATTTTTTTTTATGTAAAAACGCCAGAAGTAAAATTTCCATTACTCTTTTGATTATACAGGTACAAATAATTAAAATTTTGAATAAATAAAGAAATAATTTTTCGCATTGTGAATAAATAATAAAATTCAACTGTTGTTAACATCAAAAGCTTGAAAGCTTATTAAAAAATATTTTTCCATCCAACAAAATAAAAAAGACCTTGACACAGGCTCGAACCGCCGACCTTCTATTTATTTTTGGCGGGAACTTGAATCATATTCGCTCAATTTTCCTCCTCTAAAAACTACCGGATTTCCCCGACTTGGATCAAAAGAAGAAAGATTTGATATCACGCCTCATACTTAGTGTCAAGAAAAAATGAAAGTACTCACTGCCAAACATAATTAACCTCCTTGTAAGCATTCGGGAGGCCTCGAGGGTACTTGGCCTATTTGGCTTCTGATCCCCCAATTGTCCAGACCCCAAACCTTGGTTTCCTTGGTTCGCGCCTTGGTTCGCCGACTCACCGCTGGGTGATATCGCGCCATTTGCATTCTGTTCAGTCTTTTCCTTTTTCGGCTCTGCAAAATAATAAATCATAATAATTATAACACTTAATTAATTGATCACTGCAGTGTAAAAACTGTTAATTAGTTAATTGATAATTAATATTAATGACTATTAATTAGTTGATTAATTAAGTTACGAAAGAACCGGAGCGAAGTGTAAGTTCAGTGACTGTGTGCTTGAATAAATGTCAATTTATATAAACTGTAACTCTCAAGGTCATGAACAGTTAACTTCCGCGCGTGGAAAAAAAAAAGGAAAAATATTTTTTTCCACGATTATTAAATTACCACGTGTCAAATGGCAATTTCGTGACACGAATATTGATCCACTGACTTAATTTTACCACCGACGAAAGTGGGTAGATATGTACCGAGTAAAACACCGTTATATGCTGTGAACATACGAAAAAAAAGAATAAAAAAAAAATGGAAAAAAATAGAGTAAAAAAAAAATAGGAAAGAAGGTAAGCTTTTGCTGGAAGCGTTCGACGAATTTTTAACGTTTCTAGGGCATGCTTGCAACCACCGAATTTGGATTTTAGCCAATGAAATTCCGACGGTATAACCCGGATGAAACTCATCCGCAAAAAAGAGCAAAAGTACATTATCTTTAACGTTTTTTTTTTTTTTTTTTTTTCACAAAAACCTTCGTTGTAAAACTACCAACTGTACACGAAAAAGACTCGTATTTTTTATGTTAACAATAATTATTGTGTTGATTATATTTTATTATTGCAGAGTAATAAACTTATTTTTTACACTGTATTTAAAAAAAAAAAGAAATTTTTTTTTTTTTAATTTTATGGGTCAATACCTCTCCATTTGAGATGTACCATTCGGACCATTTATTTATTTATTTTTTTCTGTTTACTGAATTACTTATAGGTCTCGAGGTAGTTGCAACGGCTGCTGAACACTAACTGCCAGCAATGTCATTCCGATTAAAATAGATACCAGAAAGAAGAGAATTAAAATAAATTGTTTAGTAATGGGTTTACCTCCCTCGTATATTTATATAAAAAATAATGTCGACGAGTGCCCTTGCCTGGGCGCCGTTTGTTTTGTTTTTGTAGCTTGAATATTTTGGGTGTTACGAGTCTTTTAGAAGGCCGATATTTTTTGTTTGGATCTTAGTAGAGGTATGTTAATTTTTTAGAAATTTAAATAATTTGAGTTTTTGGAATAGAAAATTTGCATTTTCTGGATTGCATTGATTTATTTCTAAAATACGGATTCAAAAATAATGTTTAAGATTTTTGGTCAATGTAATTTAAATTATGGAGGGTAAGAAATAGAAACATAATAATTTCTTTAATTTAAAATTTCATAAAAAATATATTAAAGATATCGCAGTTGATTTTTTGACGAAATTCTAATTACAAATTAAAAAAAAACGCTTTTTTTTTTTAATTTAAAGAGAAATTTTAATATGAAAACATTTTTTTCGAATTAAAATTTTAAGATTGAAAAATCCCCCGTGAAAATTGGTTGAACATATTTTAAAAATTTTGAGATAAGTTAAAAAAAATTCCTGAGCTTTTTTTTTATGATCCTAAAATCAGTAAAGAGTTGATAATTTTTTAACTTTGTTTTAAAAATAAATTATTAATTAAAAAATTGCATCCGTAGTTTTTTTTTTATTTTTATGCTAAGAATTTTCTTGTAATTTTCTTTAAAAAAAATTTGATAAAAATAATCCCAAAAATGTTCAGTAATATATTTTTCTCAATAAACATTGATTGCCTTTTTTTCTATCCTTTGCGAAATATATAAAAACAAAAATATCGAATGTACTAAAGCTCGAAGCGCATTCTCTAGCTAATTCAGCGGTAATTTTATTGGCTCGGATATTACTGAGTCATAATCTGACATTGAACTTTTTGAAAACACTTTTGCAAAGAAAAGTTACATTTTTCTCTATATATTTACGTTACATAAATTGGTCAAGGATAACCATAAGAATCTATAATAAAAATAACGTCAATAATTATTATTATCATTAAAAAAATATTGGAAAAAAAAATCATTCGAAAGTTAAGTCGCGAAAATACGAAAAAGCATTGAATTCTAAAAACGCAATTAAATTCCATCAGAATTAGTCATTGGCCAGTGGTACAGCGGCAGTTAAGAAGTGAAATGAAAATGAGGATTGCGCTTACTCGTGTTATATATAGGACGGTGGTTTTAGAGCAACCACTAGCGAGCACATGATTGCTGCAAATATAAATGTAGATGTAGATGTATAATGTTAATGTTAGAGAGTGTGTTACTATGAATAGAGGTTGCCCTTGGCTGAGCTTAACTACGCTACGTTACTCGTTACGTCAGATTTAAGAAGCAAACCTGTGCTGTTCTCTCAGAGCTGTAATGTAACATAAGCTGTACTATAACTGTAAGAGATTTAAAAGTGAGTTTAAGTTTAAAAGAGACGGTGAGGGATTCAGCTCCATACTCTCGAGAGGTAAATTAATGAGTGGTGGAGATGAAGGTGATGGAGGATGATGAGGATGAGGATTGAAGCAACTCAACATCAACATACTCTTGACAGTGATGAAGATTACTTTAAACTTTATCACAAAAATGTGCTTTTTCATTTCATTTTTTTTTTTATTTTCCTTAATATTTTAGTAATTTCTGGTTCTATGTTATAATGATGACTTTCTAGTCGTTACAAGTACTTATGTTTATTTTAATACCGGTAATTGGTGACAAAAACCATCAAAATATGACATTTTTTTTTATAAAAAATTATATTCATCAAAATAATTTATTTTACTCAATAAAATTAATTTTTTGTAAATAATAATTTACTATTAGTTGTTTTTATTAACATCAGCGTGAAATTTTAAAAATAACTTTTTAATTTCCCGCGGTAGAAAGTATTAGTAGATGACGCTACCGCAAGGCGCCACTGTCGTGAGATTTGACCGTCAGTTTGTCAACTTTTATGTTAAATTGATAATAATTGCCGAACGAGGGGAAATTTAATAGAGATTTTTTATAGGATTGTTTATTGAACAACTTCAAAGCTAGAGATGAAAAATCAGGATGATTGATGAAGTATTTTATAAGATACTCTGATAAAAGTAATATTAAAGTTAAAGAGATACTTTAAAAAATGTTCTCGTTTAACGAAAGAATTTAATAAGAAAAAAATTAAAATAGTTTTTAAACTAATTAAAGTAACGAAAAAAACGAGAATTTTATTGTAAAAAAAGGTTTATCATCAGGTAACAAGCGTAATAATAGTAAAAGCTTTTAAATTAATTAAAAAAAGTTGGACAAAATAGTTTAAATAAAATAGTATGTTTTTAGATGTTTAACTGTTGAGACAAATAATTCAACGTTTGCACGAGATCCAATTACTTTTATTTGACCGCATAAAACTTTAATTATGCGCATAAAGTTTCTGTTCTTTAATTTTCTTGACATTAAGGTAGTACCTCCGCGACAATCCAGATCAAAAATTTTGACTCGCTATCCATGTTATACGTATCGACAGAGCTAAGGTTGTAGGTTAAGATTTTTTAACGTTACTGTACTCGTCGACTACTATATTCTTTATACATATACACACACACTACGGTTTCAGTGACTAGCGGCTGTTTTTCGTACCCCCTCTCCTAAAAATAATCCTCTAAAAGTGAAATTGTTTTTAATTAATCTCGAAAACTATATGGTAGAAAATTTTCATTTTTTTTTTTAATTGTTCGAAATATCATATTCTTCAATCTACTAGTTTTTTTTTTTTGATAAAGTCTTGAAATTCCTTCGATGGAAAAAATTAAAAATACTGTCATTTTCCCACGCTTCTCCTATGTTACATGTACAAAAATGTCATTTTCAATTGCAATTATCTCAAGTTTGGTGTGGTAAATCGTCTTCAAATTTTAACAGCATATGTATTATGTATTTAATGACTTATATTCAAAGTTTCGAGGATTTCTTGAAATATTGCTTTCATAATCGTACTACCTTAACTGAATGAAGAAAATAAATACAAAGAAACAGAATGGACATGTAGGAATTTAACGGTGTGGCATGTTTGGAGTATCATAGATTGTTGTTAGGGAATTGAACTGATTAGAGTGGAAAACCAATAATCGGTGGTTTTCAATGATAATCCAAGGGTTCAAGAGGATGAGGGATGAAGGATGAGGCACTTCCTCTGAACAGGCTTGATAATTCCTCGTCATCAGGGATATTGAGCTTGATATTATATGTTTCTACCCCACTCATTGTACATTGACGTATTCGCATCCCCGATCTCCGATTATATTCATGCTCACTGCCTGTGTTTAATTTAGGGCTGTGTTTATTACTGCTAATATGACTCAATGACATGATTACTTAGTCATGGCCATTCACATTGCGATAATATAATTTAATATAATATAATATTCAGATATAACAAAAATTAGTTTTTCAATCGAATCATTAGGTAATTTATTCAATTTTCCAAATATTTCATTTTAATCAATTATTATTGTGAAGTAATTTTTTGAACAGCTATTTTTAATTTAGTTAAAAAATTTTTTAATATTATTAATTAATTTTTAATATTAATATTAATTTTTACATTGACTTTTATTAATATTTTTTAAATATTATTATATAAAGTACTATACTTTATTGAAGAGCATAGAAATAAAAAAAATTGCTTACTGGAAGAAGTAATAAAACATAAAATAAAAAGAAATTGTAATTACTAAAATTTATGTCACAGCCAATACTGAAATTTGCAATTCAATGTACCAATATCTATTTATATTTTTTGCTCTATTTCGTGCAGTTTCATCCTTCCTTGATTTGTTAAGATCAATGGTTGACAGGTGAGTTGTAATCGGATAAAGCAATTTCGCCGACTGCCGATTTGCAACATCCCGAATCCCGACGATTAACCGAAGAAAATAAATAAAACAGAGAACAAAACAAAAAAAAAAGCGAGGAGTTGTGATGCGATTTTCAGAAGTATAAAAGTCTAGAGAATGTTTGAATTATGGATGCATCGGGTATCACCAAGGTCGTGGATAAGGGAATTAAGGGTAGAAATAAAAGAACAAGGAAAAAGTGAAATAAAAAAGAAAGAAAATGGCGGACGGTAAACGAGGTGAGAATTACGTTTTAATCGGCAGTGCAGCGGGTGCAGATTTGGTAAAAACCAGTTGCTGGCCAGATGGTGTGACAAATCTAATGCACACTCGCTCTAAATATTATTGTTTTTTTTTGCTGCTGTTTTATTTTTAATTTTAAAAACTCACGATAGTAAACATTTAAGTTGATAAGCCAGGACGGTGAGATGAATATTAAGAACTCAATTAACTGCGAGGACAATAAAATTTAATGCTACGCTATTGTTTTTACTTTTATTGTTACTTTATTTTTATGGCGTTCTTTATACTCAGGGTATATTTTAATAAATTAAAGTTGTTGGATATTAAATTACGCGACAGGTTTTCATCTTTATTTTCTTATTGATTGTTTGTTTATTATTATTGCTTCAGAAGAAATTTATAAATCAGAAAGGGAGAGTCAATAATTAGATTAATCAAAATAAATTCTTTTTTTCATATCATGGTCCGTAAAAAAAATTTTAGATGAAAATTTCGTCAATTTTTTTGTAAGTCGTGACAAAAATTGAATTTTTAATTAAACAAAAATTTGCTTAGTCATATATTTAGTGTCTTTAAATTATACAAGGAAAAATTAAAATTTTGCGGGGGTTCAATAAAATGGCGGTCATGGTTAATCTACTGCGCAAAAAACATTTATTTTTAATATATAATTGTACTTCTAAAAGTAGTTAATTAAAATTGTAAAAAAATTATTTTATACGTAAAGAACGTAAAATTGTTTAGATCTTACGGGTGAACATCAAAATCGCAGTCATGAGAGTATAAATTTATCTTTGCATGACCTTATAGTCATATAGATATCTAAATTATCTGATATTAATTTTTTACCATCGCAAAAACTTTTTGTAAAAGATGTAATTTGTTATTCTTATTAGTATAAGTCACTTTTCATGACAGAATAAATTACAACCCATTAAAAATTCATAAATATCTAAAAGTTTTTCTAGAATTTAAACCAAAACCCGGTATTAAGTTTTTAATATATTCTTGTCCTTGTAAATTAGCATTAACTTTTGTTCTATCGGATGCAGATTAATTCTTGAATTTAAATGCTAAGATCTCAAAAGTTGCTGATTTAATAAGTGAAATTTTATCATTTTAATCTCTTAATAACTGTATTAGTATCTTAAGTTTTAATTTCCAGCATAAAGTTAATATACACAAGCTCGCAGTATCAAAAATTAAATTTTTGCTGATGAAAATTGAAGCTATAACTATTGTTGTTATTTATAATAAATTTGTCGCGAAAAATAAAACAATAGAGTTTTTGGCGAAGTTAGTCCATTAAATCTATAAATACATAACAAACGAGCTTTTAAAATTTATACGTGTCTTTGGAGTATGCATTACGTTTAAAAACGTAGACAGTAAAGTAAATAAACCAGGCCAGGGATAATAAAAAAGCTTTGTATTCAGCATTTTGTTGTTATTCAGAGACAAAATGGTAATAAAAGAAACCTTTTATTTTATTTTAGTTTGTCAAGTTTGGATTCACTGTTCATTCATATGTATTAGTGAGGAAGGTAGAACCATTTTTAAATTACCGAGTCATCCTGATGAACTTGAACTCTACTCGAAGCGTCGCGACGCCAAGGGTCAACGACATGTTCGCGCATAAAAGCTAACATTTGATATTAATTGGCTTCTATAGTGTTTTACGTCATCCTTCGGATTAAGAGATTTATTTCTGTTGTTACTATTCAACAGGAGAAAAATTTATCGACGATAAAATAGGACAATGTTTAAAAATTTTTCGTTTTTTTTTTTATTTTCTTTTTTAAAAATTTGAAATTGTTTATCAATCTAATTATTATATATATTTTTTGATTTGGTTATGAAACTGCGAATTTTTAGTTGCGCACTGGTAAAAATGGAAGATCCAGTGTTCAAACCAAACTAAGGTAATTTATAAGAAAAAAAGTTTTTCTGTAAGGAATTTTTGTTTTGCAACTACATTTTTTTCTTGTCAAAATTTAATTTAAAATTAATTATGATTAGTAGGATATTTACGAAGGATTTTTGAATAAGTTTAGACACTTAAGATTTTTATATTAATCATACAACCAATATAATTAATATTAATTACTGGCTGAATGCATTTTTAAAAGAGAATGTTGTTCTAAGTTTTCTTCAAAATTATTGAAATTGTTTCATTTTCTGTTTAAACTTTTTTCGCAATTGCCAAAATGGCGTGAAATTTTGAAATTGCTAGTAACGTTGAACTTAAAAAAAATGTAAAGAAATTATCTGAAGAAAATTAAAATAATAATAATTAATAATGAATATTATTTGATTTGTTAATGAAAATTAAAATTTATAATAGTTTCATAATTTCAATGGATTTTGATTCAAATAGAACTGAAATGATTATGAAATTTTTCGTTTAAAAAAATTCGGCAACTTGAGATATTGCGCAGAATAAATAATTTATTTATTATTTATGTGCAAACCTGAGAATTTATCTCCTTTTTTATAACCAGGGGGTAAAAAATCAGCCGGTGGTGTTATCGGAGTTGCGGTATCCCAAGTAGGTACAACATCAGGGTGAAGACTGCAATGGCCCATTGGGGGTAATTCCAATAATTTTTGTTGTTTTTCACACCGACGACGACGTCTCCCACCGGGGGTGAAAGTTTTCACCGCGGTCAAAAAGCTTACACCACTCATATTACTTTCGCGGTTTTCTGGCGCTATTGTCGACTCGATACCGCGGTACGAAAAGTAAGGAACCATTTATTTTATAAATAAATTCAAAGTTAAAATAGGATGAGAATTTTAATGCATATTAATTTTTATTGATAAAAAAAAAAGAAGCTCAATTTAAAAAAAAATTAAAATGAGTCCAATAAATCTCAGATTAAATAATAATGATAAAAATTATTGAAGTTATAAAAGTGAGTAATAATAATAATAATAATAATATAAGGGTTGTCGTTGATTGCGCGTCTATCGTTGACTGATCGGAGTTTAGATTTCGCGAAAGCTCAGCACTGTTTCAAAAGTGTTAGAGTCGCTGCGCAGCTTCGCCAAGTGGCGGCAGCACACTGTGCCGGTAGAGTGGTGTAGAATAACCGGAGAAACGATCGGACGAGAAAACGCGTGGGTGGTGGTTGTTGTTGGTGGTAGTATCGGCTCTAGAGGTGGTAGAAAACGAGTGGGAAATAGATGAACGGGGGATGCTGTACTGGGGTTTATCAAAGAGGGCTCGCGCATGAAGAGGGATGCCAGGGAAAATACGTGTTGTCCCCATACACTGACATTCGTACCCCGGCCAAGGGAACCGAACCGATCGTTACCGAGAAAACTCGCGCGTGCAACGATAATTATATAAATCTAGAAATTTATCATAATGATAGACTTTTTATATAAATAATAATATGAAAATTTTACAAAATAAAAAAAAGTAAGAAAATTGAACAAACTTGTAAATTATTATTTAGTTTAATAATTTTTTGATAATTTAAATCACAATATACATAAATTGCATACTTTTGAAATAAATAAAAAAAATAATATAACAATTACCAACATTTTAATGGACAAATTTGACGTATAAAAACTTATAAAACCAACAAACTATTCAAAACTCCTTTAAAAACTTGACATAAAAATTATTATTACCAATAAAAAATAATTACTGTTATAATTTTACTCAACCATAAGTAATCATATCCACAATATAAAGAACATCCAATTAAATTAATATTCATTGTTACAATGTCTTTTAATTATTTTTTGTTAACTCTTTCAATTATAAGTTTCTTGAAATTTTTCATTATCTTCATAAAAAAAATATGCTGAGGTTTTATTACTTCTTTTTATGTAAAAATTTTCCATAGTTATTTAAGAATTCTCACTCTTTTTTCGTTTTTTTTTTTTTTTTTTGTTATCAAAGAAGAAATTTTTTTTAAAAATAGTATTGTTAAAAATTTTCTTTGTGCATAAGTAGGTAACTCGATAATGGATATATTGAAAGAATAAGAGTTACTGCATCAGTACTAAAGCTCAAGAAAAATCCACAAAGACTGTTCCATATTTAATGCCCTCGTATTCAAAAAACAACGCTTTTTATATTATTTTTTGCACTAATGGAATCCAATTCCACTCTCTACTCGGTACTATCTTTACTTTTTTCTGTTATTAATCTACGGGATTTAATGGATGTTTATTTAACTGGCTGTAGGCGTCCTGTGACGTCGTTCGCGAAGAACAATTATAATTATTTATTACTGCGTGACGTTTCGAAACGAAAATTTCTGATCCGATGAAATGAATTGTATTAAAATAAACATACGTAGCCTCTGCTTTAGAATTTTTCGTTGTTTACGATTCTTCTCTACGTCACGATTGAATGAATAAAGTTAAAAGAAGATACAAGATCAGAATGAATGAAAGAAGGAAGCTTTTTATTTATGTATGAGATTTGCTCGCTTTAATAATAAATCATTTTTAGTGACAGTTTTTTTTCGCGTCTAATCTGCAGCAAAAAAATTCCTCAGTTTTTTTTTCTTTTATTCCACTGTGAGAACTTTGCGGAGTGAATGATTTTTAATTGATTCAATCTCTCTTGAATAGTGGTGTGAAACGACCGTGAATTTTGACTTCGGTCGAATCACGAGCAATTGATGAGAATTTGCTCGTCAATTGGCTTCATTCTTTTTAGTCAGTTAATAATATTAACGAGCTTCTTTTTTTCATCACAAAAATGCACCCAAAAATAAAAAAGAAAAGAAATTAATTATTAAAGGCACTTTGAATGTATTTAAATTTATTGTACTAATATTCAAAATCAAATTTGGCTTTTACTATACAAATTAAATGCAAAATGACCGTCTAAAATTGTTCAAATAAAAATTAAAAAATTTTATACGTTTAAATATTACAAAATTTGTTTTTAGAGATTCTTAAAATTAATATAATTTTTTTTCTTAGTTAAATGTAGCAAATAAATTTTAAAATTAAAAAAAAGTTGAATTAAATTTTTTTTTTCATTTATACAATTAGCGTTTTATAATAAATTATCTCAATAATATATTATTTGTTGAAAAATCTGAGTAATATTAGAGTGATTAATTTTATTTAACTAAATATTTAAAAAACTCCGTATTTATTCCCGAAGATTTGATAAAAATTTTTTAAAGACAAGTATCCTCAACTATACAAAGCTCTTGTAAATATACTATCTATAATTTCGTCAAAACAAGCAAAAATGACTATACGGCGTATGTTAAAAATAGCGATACATTTCCTCATTCTGACAATATTTTTCTCTCTATGTACTTCATATAAATATTTGATAAAAGAAAAAAACGCGATTAAAAATAACAATTGATATATCCACGTGGAAAAACGATTGACAAAGATACAAAAGAGCTTATCCGTGAACTTGCAAACAGTTCAAGGACACGTCGGGTGAATGGAAGCGCATTTAAGATAAATTGCTTTTTAACTGATATGATAAAATGTCGAGCAAATGTTTTGTGGATACGCTATCAATAATAATAACAATAATAAATAAAAATAATAATAAAATGCTTACTTTGATAATTTCTTCAAGTATAAATTTATATTAAATTTCTCAAGTGTGTTATTAAAAATTTCTGCATGGGTTTCATTATAAAAAGCTCTATGTAATATAATTTTTTTTATGCTTCGATAATTGCTCATTTAATTTTATCTCCAGGAGAAAATTGAATCCGAATTAAATTAAATTAAATATAATATAAAATTTATTGTAAAGTAGACTTTTAATAATACAGTAATTGATAGGAAACGTGAAGGGAAAAATAATAAATAAAATATCAATGAGCGGAGTATAGTTGATCGAAATTTCGACTAAAACTTCTTTGAACTAATAACGTCTAATGAAATTTCAAAAGTTTATTTAATAAGGAACACATTGATTGAATTAATATCAATTACCCTAAACCAAGATTGAACTTTATTAACTTTTCTATATAAGATTTACATTATTACTTGATGAGATAAATATCTCTTGAGATTGTTGCTCTGGGAATTGAACAGCTTCAAGTTAAACTTCCTGACGCGGTTATAAATTACTTACTATCGATCACCTACCTCTCTTATCTTTGATTACACGACATGAAAAATTTTATATTTTTTTTTTCGTGACAAAAGCTGTTGTTATTTTTTTATTAAAAAAAATATGAAAAATAAAGCAATTTAATATTAATATATAATCTTTCTTTTTAATTTATACATGATGAAAATTCAAGAAATTATTGCGGCACATTATCAATTTTACTAAAATGTATTGATAATTTCCAAGCGGAGCAAATATTTGAGGGTATAAATTTAATTACTTTCAAGCCTCATTTTCCTCGGTGAATTGAACGGGGTTTTTAAATTACAGTATATTAATATTAATAATGATAATAATAACAATAAATGAAAGCAAATTGGGAAAATTACAACGAACAATTTTCAAGGACACGAATGAAAGCGATTGTGCACTAGAAACCTTGGCCGATTGATCATACAATTGTCCTCAGTTCTGTCCTCATTTTATTCTGAACAAAAATGAAATGGGAATAAAGGATCATTTTCAATCAAACGGTCTTTAAGTTTTTCTTTTTTTTTTTTTTTGTGTACGTAGATTGCATACATAAATCATTTATTTACGAGTCGATAGTTTACAAGTTTATTCAAGTTTTTTACTTTTTGAAATTTTATATTGTGAAATTTTCATATCATTATTATTATTATTATTATTATTTGTAATCACAATTTTTTTATACTCAAGTTTCTCCAATCTTTATTGAAAATTGAAGTGAGAACGTTTTAGCAACAATTTTTTGCCATTTTGGTGATTCTTAAATTAAAAATAAAAGTTGACATCCAAATTCACTGAAAAGTACAAGAAAAGCTCTGAAAAAATATTGGGGCTGAACTGAGCCAGGATCTTCACTATTACATATCGGGTGCTCTACCATTTAAACTATCGGATCTCAATCATGGAAGACTTAAGCTAGGGTTTTTTATTTTTAGATAAAATTTTTTCCCATAGCTAAACACGATTTAACTTATAATTATAAGATTGTCTGTATGAAATAAATAAACTTTTATTAAAAAACAAAAAAAAATCTCAATCATGGATATCCAGATTCGACTCCTTAAAGTGGTTCTTGTAATTTTCAATTAATTTTCATTTTTAATTTTATTTTATTCAACTTTTTTGTTAAATTATATTAATAAACATAATTCAACAAAAAGCTACTGAAATGGTAAATAATACGGCTACAATATTGTGATTAAAATTTTCAATAAAAAATAACGTCAAATTAAAGGATTGGGATGACTTTGCGATCAAATAATTGATTTTGTATTGTTACTATAAATTATGCTTAACATTAACTATAAATTAAGCTTAAGAAATGTTAAAAATAACCTTGACCTTAACAGTGATTTTTGCGAGTACATGAGACCAGAGGTAAGAACATTGATTTTTGGACCAGATAAAATATATATATATATACAACCTCGACCCTCAAAGCTTGTGCTTTATGTGAGGAAATGGATGGATGAAAATGGAGGAACATCTTTTCTTTGACACTTTTTTTAGCGCTGTATTATATTGGTTATCGGAACTCATACATTTTATACAAATTTTACGAACAACTATGATTTGTGTTAAGATTTATGATGAATTTACCGAAACACGAAAAAAAGTGCTGAAGAAAAGAAAAAAAATGAAAAAATAGGTAAATAAAAAG